CCTTAACCATCATGCCATCTGCTGCCCCTAAACCAGTTTTTTTGTCTTTGTTAACTGGAGTTAAGGAGTCCAAGGCTGGAACCTAAGCAGGGCATGATCTCCTTTCAGCTTCTTCAACAGCAGCTCTTGCAATATCTGTAATTCTTTCATTTCATTCTCTTTGACATCACTCTCCCACTAACTAAAGTTAATTCATTTGAGACTTTCATTCAGTTTTTCCATTATGTATTCGCTAATTGCAACATCTAACTGCTCAATGATTCCTTGAATTGTATTCAATCATTTTTCAAGTTCAGCTTGTCATCTTTTCCTTTCAAGAATAAGCATGACATCATCTCTGGTCATAATGACCTCTCCAACTTTCCCTAAGTCATGAGGCCGAACATCAAGATTTAAGCTCGACTCCTCTTCTCTGAACACTCCACCAATGCAATAGCAATATCCTTAATATGTTTTTTTTTTTCTATTGTCATGAAAACCCAGAGCTTTGATTGCTACAATTTGAAGACCAATTTACGATTAATAAAGACTGTTTAAATAAAAGGAGAATAACATACCTAGTTACAGTTGCTTATGTGCTGAATTCAAAGTAATGGGAATGAAGGACTTAAATATTTTATATCTTTAAAGATAAGAAGACCCTTGTGGCCGGCAGGTGGCATGGTGGTTAAGAGCACTGGACTCCAATATGGCTAACCGCAGTTTGAGTCCTAGACCTAGAGGCTTCCTCTCTCTCTCTCTCTCTCTCTCTTTTTCTCTCTCCCTCTCTGGTCAAATTTAAATAAATAAATAAATAAATAAAGTTACATAAAATAATTCTTTAAAAAAATAAGACCCTTTATATGGGAATGATTTTTAATTCACAATTTCATCACTGTTTTCTCTTTGTCCCACGAACCTCCCAAGCTCCTTGTGATCTTTCTTTAGAAATTAACTGTGACTTATTCTTAGAGGGTAGAGAATCAGGGAGCTGTCTCTGTATCTTCTCTCTACTACCAGACTGTAAGCAACTTGAGCCCTCACACTAGGATATATCTATGAAAGGCTCAGCATTTTTTCAAAAAAAGAACGGTATTAAAATGTTTTTTTTTTTTTAAATTTTAAGTAGAATTGGAGAAAACACTTAGATGAGACTTCCTAGAGATACAGAGACAAGGCATCCAGATAAATTCTAGAGCTGTTGAGAAACAATCTGGGTCTTAGAGGCAGCACATCACAAAGTGGGTCTAGGTAAAGCAGTCCATAAACTCAGAGAAGGAAGAAACACTGTGATGGTTAGTCTTAGGCGTCAACTTGACTGAACTAAGAGATATCAAGATGGCTGGTAAAGCATAATTTCTGGGTGTGTCTGCGAAGATATTCCAGACAACATTGGTGTGTGAATCTTCTTGATTCCCAGAAATAGAAATCAAGAAATTCAGCTTATCTAACCTCTGCCTTTTACTGTAGGACCTTGGGAACGTTGCACAGGTTTTATAGCCTGTTTCCAGAGGACATCAGTGTGTGAGTCAGTGAACTGAGTGGGGAAGACCCACCCTCCATGTGTGCTGGCAATATCCAATGGGCTAAGGACCTGGATAGAACAACACCAAAAATCAGCTGGGACACTCTTCTTTTCCTCCCCTTGGACATCAAAACTGAAGCTTCTCTGGCCTTTACATTCCAGAACTTGTGCCAGCAGCTCCTCTGGTTTTCCAGGCTTGTGGCATCAGACTGAGGGTCACGCCACTGGCTTCTCTGGTTCTGAGGCCTTTGGACTAGGATTGAGCCAGTAGCAGCATTCCAGGTGTCCAGACTGCAGACAGACTATTGACCTATTGTAGAACTTCTCAGCCTCTTTCACTGCATGAATCAAACCTCCCAATACATCACCCATCTCTGTAATTTATTTGTCTATCTAAACGCCAAGCCAGGGATGACCTTCTAAACATCATTGCATACTCTCTCCCCTGCCATGTACTTTTAATACTTTATCTATCTATATCTATCTATCATCTAATTAATACAGATTTCTCTCTTGATTTTCCTTAACAACTTCATTTCTTTTTTTTTTTTTCCAGAGGTTTTTGATATAGGGCGCATGCGCTCGCCAGAAAGACAGAGAGAGACAAAGAGATAGAAAGTGAGAAATCACCCTCCAGGGGGGATGGCCACACCACAATCCCTTCTCCTCCATTCTCCTCCCAGGATCTTGGGCATGCACTCACATGCGCCTGGCATGAGTTTAAACTACCAGGTCTGGGACTTGAATTGTGGTCGGCTACATGGGAGTCCAGCTAATAGCCATTACGTTAACTGCTGGTCCTAACAACTTCATGTCTTAGGTCTGCTCAGCTGTGGGGTCCCACAAAACTCTGTGGACTATTTGCCACTTAAGTTCAAGTGATTAAGCTCAAATCACTCCCTCCCTCACCCAGTCCTGCTCCCAGACTGAGGAATCACCATCTATTCTGGAGAGATCGATTGCTTGAGTTTTCTTGCTGTGTTTTCTCCCAAATCTTTTGTCCATGATTAGTCCTTTCTGCTCCCCTTACGGTTTAGACTTGAAATTCGGAAGTTAGACAGAGGTCCCTTTCTGTCCCCACACCCACCTCCACCTCGGCTGTCACTCTCAGGTAATAAGCACAGCACAGCTTAGCTTAATGAATGTGAGGAAGGGTACAGAGGGAACAGGAGATGCCAAGCCAGGGGAGACCATTTCTAAACATTATCTCACACTTTCCCCTCTGCCATGTTCTTTTAATACATTATCTCATTTGCTCCTCACATTGCAAGGTAGGAGTATAAAGAACTAATATCTCCCCTTGCAACAGAAAGTTCAGGCTAGAAAGCCTGCCTGACTTCCCCAAGGTCCCACAGTTAAGGGCAGGGGCTAGGTAACCTGAATTTCTTGAGTCCCAGTTTTGGGTCAACGTCATAAAGGGCACAGTGCTTTAGCCACTGGAATCACAATTTATAGAGCCTAGCTGGGTTGGCAATGCACAAGTAAATTGTGTTAGAGGTCAGGAGCCCACGTTTTCTGGCTGAAGGACAATTTGTCTGCAATAGGCATGAAGATGATATCATGAATACACTGAAATATTTTCTGCCTCTATACTGCCCCTGAATTAGCTTCTGCTCCCAATTAGTCCACTGTTTTGGAGTATTTTTGTAGCCACCTTAATAACTCTTTTTCTCTACCATCAATTGGGTTGATCATGACACATCTAGATTGGCAATTAAAATTGTCATAATGATCTGGATATTGCTGAAATTTCCCAGAGAAGACTGCAAACTGAAAAAAACTGGAAAATTCAGCATGTAAGCTGCTAGCTTTCTTCTGACAGGTTAGTGGTATTTAGTAGGCAATAAATAAAAGGGAAAAGAAAGCCCTGGCCTTTCCTAACAGTAAGAATGTCTTACCCTATGAACCTTCTTTCTGAGAAGGTCTTTTAATAAATAGCCCCAACTAACACCAGTTCCTTCTCAGCTGTGTCCATTCACTCAACATTTAGATCTGCTGCAGTTCCTTGAACTCATGATCCCAATTACTTCCTAAGGTAGTTATGTATGGAGCTAATCTCACGCAGACTGAGCACCAATGGTCCCCTCTACTGAGGAAAAGCCCCCTTTCACCATCATTACAAAGCAAATGTTTGATTCTGATCCTTTTTCTCCACATGGACAAAATAGTTTTACACTTTCCCAAACTCTCTGTCTTGAATTAAGTGGAATGCACTATCTTCATTGAAATATGTGCAAGCTAGTCAAATATTTGGTAAGTGCTCACTATATGCAGAATATGGTATATGAAAAAATACAGGAAGCACATCTATACATGAAGAAATACAATACTGTAGTTCTCTGACTTTCTCTCTCCAAAAAAACTATATTCTGCTGTGTAGGTTGTAACATATCACCAATTGCAACTGACAGCTTCTCAAATTCATAACCCACTCCTGTTGCCCTCACTTTCTTCATTTAGTTATTAAAATTTTATATATTCCTATAGATTCATTTTATGCTATATACCTTAAAAGAATATCTCTAAATTCTCAAGCATAAGTCAGAAATGGTATATTTCTTTAGTATTTTTTTTCCTTTTAAGAGAAATTTCTCATATTCTCCTAACACAGCTATCAGGCTTTGGAGTCACTTAGTATAGTAATAAATGCTTCATTTAAAAAAAAAAAAGACTATACCATTGGCCATGCTATGTCATGGCTATCAACATAACTTCTGTTAATTCTTCTTTTTTTTTGGAGAGGTTTTCGCTATAGGGCGCGTGCGCTCGCCAGACATATAGAGAGAGAAAGCGAGAAATCACCCCCCAGAGGGGATGGTCACGCCACAATCCCTTCTCCTCTCGGGATCGTGGGCACACATGCACACGCGCCCGGTGTGAGTTTTAAGCCACCGGGTCCGGGACACGAACCGCGGTCGACTACATGGGAGTCCAGCGACATAGCCATTACGCTAACTGCTGGTCTCATCTTCTGTTAATTCAACTGAAGAGAAGAATTTACTAAAAGAATCTATTATGTCTCAAAAAAGCAGACTTTCTTCCTAGTTAGATATGCTAAGTTAACATAGATCAATAAAACAACATTCATTTGAGAAACTCTAATCCTGGATTTAAGAGCATGCCTGAATGGTTCAGACCTATAATTAGTTCTTAATATGAAGGATCAGAGCTATTTCTTGTGTAAATTAAACTTTCAGAAGAACAATATATGTATGAATATGCTCTCCCATAGAAATAGCATTCCATTAAAAATGTTTCCTAGAAGTAAAACACTGAATCAGCCACAAGAACATACATACCCATCTTTTCCGGATTTAAAGATTGATAATTATATTTCTAAGAACCAGCATTGTTGCTCCGAAGGCTGACACATAGATAGGAAAGAAGACGTGTTAAAGGATAGTTTCTTGGTAATGAGATCCTCTAGAGCAGAGACCATGTACAATTACACAAAAAATAAACACATTATTATAAAATATGAAGGAGAAAACCTTACCCGAATCCAGAAAGTAAGCGACAGAAGAGAAAGAAGCCATAACCTTGGACAAATGAAGAAAGGAAGGCAAAAAATCCGTTGACAGACATGCAAATCAGAAGGGACTGTCTCCTTCCCACTTTGTCTGCCAGTCCTCCCCAGAAGAATGCCCCCACCATCATCCCGAGGTACACTATGCTGCCTGCAACACAAAGAAAACAGAGAAACACATCAGAAATTGGGAGTAAACGACATATGAAACAGCAAATGAACAAGAAAAAAGTACATTCTAGCATTTTGATGGAGAATATTTTCTTTAAAAACGTATTTCATGTATTTAATCAGCTTTCCAGCTGGAGAGTAAACTCTGAACTGCTACTGCTTTTCACCACCATGACTGATTGTAAGGGGTTGTGAGAAGTTATCTTCTATACCATCTCATGCTCAGGAATACAAAATCACCACATTCCAGCCCAGCTTTGTGGGGATGGAATCACAGCAGGCAAGTGGGAGAAGTCTCCACATAGAGCAACCTGGATTTGACTCACAATCGAGTCACCGTTGGTCCAAAAACCCAGCCTCAACACCATGACAAGGGCACGATGGGAGACCAAAGCAAGGGCTTCCAGGTCAAAGTGGATCCCTCCAGCTCACTTCAGATCTCTGCCTATAGCAGATGACTTGAGCTAAGGTCAGACCTTTAATATCTCACTAGAGAATTTCATAGATTCTTTATCTTTAGTGCCTCCTGAAAGCCCTTGGCCTTCCTTAAAAGTTCATGAAGGTGAATTAAGAGATTACAAGATTTGGGACCAGCAGATGGCATAATGGTTATGTTGCTGGACTCCTACATAGTTGACCAAGGTTCAGGTTCTGGACCCAGGAGCTTAAAACTCATGCCAGGTGTGTATGCATGCATACACATCCCAGGAGGAGAATGGAGGAGAAGAAATTGCAGCGTGGCCATCTCCCCTGGAGAGCGATTTCTTGCTTTCTGTATCTCTGTCTCTCTCTCTATGTCTCCGGCAAGCACACGTGCCCTATAGCAAAACATCTTTCTCAAAAAAAAAAAAAAATAGAGAGAGAGAGAGAGATTACAAGAGTTCATCTTGAAGTAGTTTCTAAGTCTGATCATGTAAGAAGACTCTTTGATAGAGTCAGTAGCTTAAAGAGAAGGAAGAGAGTTTTAGTAGTGGGAAGTACATATTACTATGATTGGATTTATCATGATTGGCTTTGAGCCCTGAAAGAAACAAGGGATTAGTGGTTAGTGTAATGGCTATGTCGCTGGACTCTGATGTAGTCGGCAGCAGTTCGAGTCCCGGACCCGGTGGCTTAAAACTCACGCTGGGCGCATGTGTGTGCATGCCCAAGATCCCGAGAGGAGAATGGAGAAGAAGGGATTGTGGCGTGACCATCCCCCCTGAGGCGTGATTTCTCGCTTTCTGTCTCTATGTCTCTGTCTGTCTGGCGAGTGCACGCGCCCTATAGCGAAAACCTCTCAAAAAAAAAAAAAAGAAACAAATGGAAAATTAAGAGTTAGGGTCCAACAGGTGGTGTGGTGGTTAAGGCATGGGATTCTAAATAGCCAACCATAGTTTGAGTTCTGGAGCTGGTGGCTTACTTTCTCTCTCTTATGCTCTCTTCCTCTCTCTCTCACTCCCTCTTTGTCTCACTGGTGAGTGTATGTACCCTATAGCAAATTAAATAATAATAATAATAAATAAAATTAAACGAATAATTCTTATTTTTTAAAAAAATTAGGAGTTAAATTGATGTCCCTCTTGGAGTCACTGTGAATATAAACTTGTATGTTCTAATTCATTTTCTTCTAAAAAAAAACAGATCCCCACAAGTCCCATCCAGAATCTTCCTGAGAGGGACCAGCAGTTAGCGTAATGGCTATGTCACTGGACTCCCACGTAGTCGACCGTGGGTCGAGTCCCGGACCCAGCTTAAACTCACACTGGGCATGTGTGCGTGCGTGCCCAAGATCCTGAGAGGAGAATGGAGGAGAAGGGATTGTGGCGTAGCCATCCCCCCTCCCCCCTGGGGGGTGATTTCTCGTTTTTTGTGTCTCTCTGTCTCTCTCTGTCTGTCTAGGGAGCGCACGCGCCCTACAGCAAAAAAAAAAAAAAAAAAGGATCTTTCTGAGAATAACATTCAATGTGACAAATATTAATTCAGTAGGGTTTTTAAAGGGTGTAAAATGTCTAGGGGAAATGATATAATTAATAAAAGAAAGTTTGTTCTATCTGAAAGTGGCATGAAAGAAATGACTATTGCATCTGTCTCCATTTATGCCTTTTTCCTTGCTTCAGCAAAGCACTATTTGAACACTCTCTTTTCAAAGGCACATCAAAGATAATTCTGCAGCATTAAATAAGGTTAAAAAATTAGTTTACGTATCACCTAAAATTAGTTTAGAAATATCTCATTTAAACATTCACATCCAAACTGGTTTACTAAACACACAGTTCATGGATCAGTATGAGACCTCAGAGGAAAACACTAGATAAGGTCCTGTGACTCACATCAATGACATGCAGATGCTGCTTTGCAGATTACTACATACACACGGCTACAGTTCAGACTGGATGTTGGGAGCAACTATAATACAATACAAATGCTGCTTTGATTTAGATTGGGGTAAAGAGGTGGGTGGTCATCCTTTGCCTGGGGATAGATGGGCAAATTTTTCTCTGTTTTATGGGGCTGACTATACACAGATGATCCTTCTCCACAGAGATTATGTATATCATCAGATCCGGTGCCTGTGCAGAAGGCAATTTAAAGAAGGTATTATTAGCATAGCGCAAGGGAATTCCAAAAGTAGACAGATTCACCCAGGGAAATGTGTAGGCAGCATTTCTCTTACAGCATAAGAGGCTCAAGTTTGCCACTCACATCTCAGAAGGATAACCAGTAGCTAAGCTTCATTATAGTAATGTCTATGTCTATAAAAATGCCTGCAAATCAGAAAGTGAACTTCTATAGATCAGGAGTAGCCTGTGGTTGCTGTGAACTGAAGACCTAGAGTCTGCCTTGTAGCTCTAGCCTCAGAAATAAAACCTCCCTTTTCCCCTCAAGTCCATAAGCTCCCTCCTCTCCGAGTAAGCCGCCATGACACAGCAACAGTAACCCAGGACTTCTTGTGGCCTACCATGATTACATTCCTACCGAAAGCATGGGCAAAGCAGAGTTAAGCTGCCTACTCTATCAATAACCATTTATTATCTTTTAATTAAAATAGTAAACAATAGCTCCTGCTACTACTTTTACTGACTGAATGTCTGTTTGTGCCAGGCACTCTTTAAAGAACATTCCATATATTGGTTCACTGAAACCTCACCACAATCCTGCAAAGTTGATATTGTTAGCACATTTCACAGATGAGCAAACTGAGGTTTAGAGAGATCATGTAACTTGATCGAACAGGTAATAACTGGCAAATCAGGGTTGTTTAATTCAGGTGTGTGTGTGTGTGTGTGTGTGTGTGTGTGTTTTGTCTCTAAGCCCAGAGAACTTTCTGAGAGTTGACATTTAGTTGGAATGCACCAGGTACCACTGCCCTGGCCCCTGAATTGGGGGACCTCTCCTCCAGACTTTTTCTTGAACTAGCAATTAGCTAGTTCAACTAGTCTAGTGCTACAAAAGAGTTGTTCTCATTCCCAACCCATCGATGGTATAAACTACTTTGAATTATTTTGAATATCACCACAATTCTTCCTGCTAAGCTCAACTTGGGAATCCCTATTATGTGTGAAGCAGGTTATGTAAAGCAGGGTGATTAGAATTTCTGCTTGACTGCAACCATGTTCTGTTTAAAGAAAGTGAATCTTGGGGCCAGCAGGGGGCGTGGTAATTAAGGCACTGGACTCCCACTGACCTTAGATCTAGCAGCTTTCTCTCTCTCTCTCTCTCTTTCTCTCTCTGATGAGTGCATGTACCCTATAGCAATTTTAAAATAATAATAATAAATAAATTAAAAAAGAAAGTGAATCTGGGTGCCTGGGGCAGAATGGCTGGTGAGATTCCCTACCACCCTTTAGTACCTGCTACTTCCCACATTCCTTCTACCACTCTGCCTCCAAAGGCATTTAGACTTTCAGACTCCTAGGAGGACAGAATTTACATCTAGGGGGCAGTGGCTCATCAAAAACTAAGGCAGAAAGGATCTAGGGCAGAACCTCCCATGGCCACCTGGGATCATATGACCAGGGTAGAACAATGCTAAAATGGACACTCAGGTACCTGGGCCCTAAGTCCCTAATTCTCTTCCTACTCCCTCAGGGTGGCTTACAGAACTCATATTTCAATGAGAGGCACAAACAGGCACATAATCAAATGAGCCTGTGGCCAGCCATAAGGTTCTCCAACAGAGGTATAAGTGGCAACAGACGGAGTAGCAAGGTGGCTATTCATTCTGTGTGGCCTATGAGAAGACACTGATAAGAAAGGAACACTTGGGGGTAATATAAAAGATAAGAAAGATTTCAGATGGAATTAAATTCCTTCATAGCTGACAGGCTTAGCATAAAAGTATAGTACCAAGTTGTATCTTCACTTAAAATATGTTTAAGATCTGAAAGTAATAATCTATGCTTGATATTGGCAATTAGTCTGTTCCATTGGGCATGCTGTGGAAGGAGTTTTACCTACCCAACAGCTTCTTTGAGACAAACACAGCACAATTATGAATAGAACGTTCATTTGTTGATTTGGTGATCTAATTAAAGATAGATCTTTGAATGTTGGCAGAGACACAGTGTGAATAAAACTGTACTCTCTCTGGGATTGTCAGAATACAAAATGTATTTCCTGCCTGCTGTCTTCAAGGTGTTGTAACAGGGAGTCCTAGAGACCTTAGAGCAGAGATAAGCTCTGGACACACAATAGACGCTCTGCTCTCCATGCCTCGGGATGCTGCTGATGGTCAGAACTGAAAGGTTCTTAGTAGACCAGCAGCAGTGGTACAGCAGTATCACTATGCTCTGTGATGCTGGACCCACACAGCAGGATTCTGGGTTCACATGCAGAGGTCTCCCTGAACACACTGGGCACACATGGATATGCCTGTGACCCAGAGTGGCTAAAGCTGGGGTGTGAATCAGGGCATGAAGGAAAAAATGAAATAAATAAAATAAAATAAACACACACACACAAAGCATCTTAGTCCAAAGCTCCTCATTTTACAAATAG